TGTTAACTGTTTTAATCACTCATTCTTGCAAAACTTTGAGGTGGAAAAGAACAAGTCTCAGTAAACTCTGTGTCTGTTTTCCTTCTTCCCTTTAAATGTTTTTCAAATAACTGGTTTATAGTTCAGGTCAGCCTTGGAGATGGTTTCTTTTTAGTTATTTGTTCTGTAAGTGCAGGCATTGAGGCAGTTCAGATTTGTGCAGTGAAGGGCTAGGAAGCAGCCTACTCTCGCAGGAGATAGGGGCCATTCTGTGTAGCAGGGTGAGGGTGGGTTTTTTTGTTCTAGAAGGGTAGAAAACCTCAAAATTCTTAAGCAGACGGAGTACCCGTATTAGGCATTTGAAGGCTTGTTTTCTCCCTATCATCAGCCTCTCCTGAAGCTAGTTGTAACGTACTGCAAGGATTCTGCCTTCAAAGCAGGGATGAGAGATTTCAAGTTCTTTCGGTTTTTCCCCTTCCTTTGCATTAATTGTGTGGAAGTGTCACTGGAGGAGCTGCTTTGCAAGGTAGGAACCCCCATGATGTTGGTGAATGTGTATTTACCAGCTCAGTTGTGATGTCGAACTCTAAAACCTCATGAAAGGGGATGGGGAGAAGCCATAGAAATCTTGGACCAGCCCTGGTTGGGAGCAAAGGAATCTTTTTTTTTCCCCTGTCTAAACTGATTTTTAGTTATACAGTCTGGCTGGTGTACAAAGAGGAGGAATCTTGCACTGATCGTCTACACTGTGAAGGAGGGAAGGAGAGTGTGTATGAGTGACCTTGTGCTGCTGAGCCACCACAGCAAGTTTCTGGGTAATAAATTTCTGTGGCAGGTTGTGGAAGTAAGCTGGTGGCATGATGCAAGAGTAGCGCAAACTGACACTACTAATCATTGCTTAAGAACCAGAAAGAGAAAGGAGACTGGGAAGAAGGGGAAAGAAAGAGTAGGGAAGACGAGGGGAAGAAACACGTTAAGAACTTAAAGGCTGGTAGATGGTATTTATTGTATTTAATACAGTCATTCAGTGCCGGCTTTGTGTTTCTGCAGCGACTGCATGAGCACATCAGTGACAAACAGGCATGTGAGGCGAGGAACAGGGACCTGTTTCTGCAGTATTTATTCAAACAAAAATCCTGCTTATGTGAAGCCTAAAGAATCAAACCACATATAGAAATATTTTTGTCTATGCTTTTTTGGAATGTATTTGAGACAGAAAATATGTAACTGAAGAGCTCTATGCACGTGGCACACCTATATAGTGAGAGTCGTGATGCATTATTAGTTTTGTTCAAATTCCTTAGGAAAAGACAAAAAAACCACACTTGAAGTGGGATGGCTTTGAAGTTGTTTTTTGCTCAGGTAAAGTTGGCTTTTTCTTCAAGAGGGCCTCACAGTCATCATCTCTACTTGTTTGTTTTAGGCAATAGGTTTAATGGCAGTAGAGGTTAAAAAAGAGAAAATCCTATCTGGCAATCATTTCTTCTCTTAGTTGGGTTCCTAGTGAAGCAAAAGACAAAACTCACCCTGTCATTAACATCCTTTCTTTTCTGTGATTGTGTTCTGCCCCAGGATGTGACTGTAGATTCTGTAGAGGTTTGCAAATTACAGTGTGGGTTTTTTTTTTCCCAATTATTATTCAATTTTGTTGTGTTCTGGGGAATGGAGGGCTTTTATTTCCAATACAAATCTAATAGAAAGCTACACCCTTAGAAAGATGTAAAATTGTGAATGTGTGTCACAAAGCAGCTCTTAGCAGAGGAAGTCTGGAAGCACAGCCACATATACACTTCTGTGTCTCCACAGCTCTCTCGCTGAGATGTGAACGTCTTTGGCTTTTGTTGGGAAATCAGTTGCCAACCAGTGAAATCATTGTTTGGTTAACATACAGCAGCCTAGGTCTCCCTCTGCATCTCTGACTGTTGTTTTGATGCATAATAGCATGCATTGAATAATATGTGCTCCTGCCACGGTAGTAGTTACCTGCCCTGGTTAGAAATAAGCAGGAAGACGGACAAGTCAGTCATTTATCTGTACTATAAACATATTAAGGTAATGTTATTTGAATAGAGATTACCTATTAGCCTGGCTGTAACACTGTTAGATAAAATTCAGTCATGTCACTGATGCCTGTTCTCCAGTGCATAGCACAATGTCATCCAAAAGCTTCAGGCAATTAATTTCGCTAATGATGACTGAAAATGTAGATGGCTTGTTCCTAGCTGTTTTCTGGTTTTGGTCACTAGTTGAGGCCAGTTAGGGGACCTAAATTGAAAGGATTTCAGAAGTGTTTCAAAGACTGGCCTGGTTTTGATCTTCCCTGAGGTGAATGAGGATTTGTGGTGCTTTCGGGCTTGCATGAAGCCAGAAGAGCATCTCAGGTGTCTCATCTTAGAATCATAGAATCGTTAAGGTTGGAAAAGACCCTTAAGATCATCAAGTCCAACCATTAACCTATCACTGCCAAGTCTACCACTAAACCATGTCCTCGAGCACCACATCTACCCGTCTTTTAAATACCTCCAGGGATGGGGACTCAACCACTGCCCTGGGCAGCCTGTTCCAATGCCTGACTACCCTTTTGGTGAAGAAGTTTTTCCTAATATCCAACCTAAACTTCCCCTGGCGCAGCTTGAGGCCGTTTCCTCTCGTCCTGTCACTTGTTACTAGGGAGAAGAGGCCGACCCCCACCTTGCTACAGCCTCCTTTCAGGTAGTTGTAGAGAGCAATAAGGTCTCCCCTCAGCCTCCTCTTCTCCAGACTAAACAACCCCACTTCCCTCAGCCGCTCCTCATAAGACTTGTGCTCTAGACCCTTCACCAACTTCATTGCCCTTCTTTGGATGCGCTCTAGTACCTCGATGTCCTTCTGGTAGTGAAACTGAACACAGTGCTTGAGGTGTGGCCTCACCAGTGCCGAGTACAGGGGCAGTATCACCTCCCTGGTCCTGCTGGCCACACTATTCCTGATACAAGCCAGGATGCCATTGGCCCTCTTGGCCACCTGAGCACACTGCTGGCTCATGTTCAGGCAGCTGTCAGCCAACACCCCCAGGTCCT